GCCTCAAACTCCATCCCACCTGAAATGCCACCCACCACAAATATTTGCCTGGACTCCAGTGGTGGGAAATCCACATCCTAGCTGGGAAAGTGATTTTGGTAATGGAATATCAGAGCACTCACTGTTGATTTCTGCAGCACTTCTGGGGTGGTGATGGTCCGGCAGCTGTGCCCAATGTATTTTGGGAAATACGTTGGAATAACGTATAACGGGGAATAATGGAATTTTGGGAAGTCTGAGGACGACACAGGCCCACAAGTTCTTTGGCAAAAAGAGCACAGGGAGTGTTAGAAGGATAAATTCTACCCATATTTATCTGTGTTTATGTGCAGATCTGAGCAGACGTATCTATTAATACAAATATATGAATATACACCTGCACAAAACCACATTTATACCCTGTCAACCCCACTCCCCCGTCCCCTAAAGCTTTAAGAAGCAGCATTTAAGCCTGAAACTCTGAAACAGCTGAGAAATGAGAGCCCCACAGCAATCAAAGCGAAATTGGATTTGCACCGTGAATCATCTGCTGAGGACTGCAGTAATAAACAGGCATAAAACAATGGCAATTTACTCACATATTAACAACTGTGCTGTCGAGGCAGCAAACCTTTTAAACCCATAAAACCACCCTGCTGTGAGAAAAACAGGGCTACACAGGGGCATTCCCTTTTCCCAAGGATGGATGGAGAGATTCCAATTTCCAACTTGCAAATGAGGAAGAGCTTTTGGGATACCTCAGCCCAAGTTTGGCTCTTTGTTCCTGTTGGCATATGCTGGCTTTAGGGCTTTTGGGAGTCTTTTCTTGTGTTCCTGTCAGTTTTGTGGATTTCAAACACCTCCTGCAAACACTCATTGCCATGCAAACTTTGGGAAGTCTCCACTGACAAAGAGAAAGACCAAGGTGTTCCTCTCCTAATGATTCCAGCTGAAGCCTCCTGGCCATGGATGGGGTGAAGATTTGGGACCTTTTCTTTCCAAAACCACCCTCCTGCCACAGCTGAGCTCAAATTCCCCATCCATCCGTTGTTCTGTCGGGTTTTAAAGCAACAATGGATGTGCCAGATGAGAGCAGAGGGGTTTGAACAGGCAGTGCTGCTGCCACTTAATTATGGTCACATTTTAATGAGATTGATAAATCATCTATAGCCCTTAGGGATTGTTTTTATTATTTTTAAATTTTTTTTTTTTTTTCAGCCAGAAAGCAGCAGCTGTGGAGGAAAGAAGAGTAAATTTTCAGCACAGGAGATGGATCAGGCCTTGATTTTTTTGTGAAAATCCCAAAACCTTGCTTTCAGTGAGATTTTTAGCCATGGTGAGCTGGACTAAAATGGGCTGAGTCCTTCCTTGCCTCAGTCTTCTTGAAGGCAAAGGACAGAAGTGAAGAAGTCCAGAAATCTCCAAACTGTGTGAAATGTCCTGCTTAAGGCTGTACTATAAAAAGTTAAATTGGAGATCCGGGCACAATAAATGCCAGATAATGTTCTCAGAAAGTTCATAAAACCTATTTTTAATGCCTGCACCCTTCCCTCAAACCCCAAGACATGTTATCCACCACCACTGCACACAGGAAATCTTTAAATTTAGGCCAGTTTGGTTTATTGAACTGAATAGAACTGAACATTTTTGCAATAAACCTTTTTTTCCTGGGACTCAGTGTAATTTACACTCTCTGATTTGTCCTTCCCAGCCTCTTGGCAGGACTCTGTGTCCTGGGATGTCACAGGGGCTGTCCTGGGATGTGACAGGGGCTGTCCTGGGATGTCACAGGGGCTGCGTGGTGTGCTCCATCCTGATCTGACTTGTTGATGAGTTTAACCACAGTAAATATCCTGTGTCCTCTTTTCCCAAGAGAAAAGGAGGGATCAGACTTTCAGTTTCCTCTCTGTTCTTTGACCAACATTTATTTACCCATCTCCCAGCCCAGGTCCTTCTGCCACCATCCTGAGCCAGTTTTGCACATCAGGTTTTCTATTTCCTGACGTGTGCAGTTAGCCTAGATTCTTGGATAGCCTAGAATGGCTCAAATGGTGTGAAATGCCCATATTCAATCTGGAATTAATTATTTCTTTTTCTCTAATGGAATTTAAATGTGACTCCTACATGGACACCTCATTGGGATGGAGAGATTAATTAATTAATCCATGAGCTGAATCCCACAGAAGATCACAAAAAAACCCCAAACCTCTCAGTGACTTTAGTGTCACTCTGTGAGTTTTGAGTCTCCAGGGAGGGACCCTTAGAGGTCTGAAAGTGGAAAAAAAAAATGGAAATCTTCACACAGGATGGCTGAAGTTTCTTGGGACAAATCCCAGTCCCAGCTACAATCCCTGTCCTGTGAAAACACTGCAAAAGTCAGTTTATTGAGGGGATGGTTTTCAATTTCTGAGTGGCAAAAGAAATTTCCCAGCAGGAACCGGCACACAGGGATGGTGAAATCCTATGACCTGGATGACTTGATGTGCGTTTGGAACTAAATCGAGTTTTCCATTTTTTCCCCTCATTTTTGCCCATGGGCAGGGAACTGCAGGGTGCAATTTTGGCATGGATGGGCTGCCACAGAAGGAGGGGACACAGAGAGGTCTGGACCTTTCCCAGAGCTTGGGTCATTCCAGCTGAGTCCCTTCTCTGACCACAGGAAATTCAGGAGGAACAGAGGGAAAGAAAAAGCCAGCAATGAAATATCCCTTGAAATATCCTCCCAGCTGACAGCGATTGCTGCCTCAGGGATTTCTCAGCTGAGATTATATAAATGTTTCCAACTGCCCTTGATGGGTTTATCTGTCACCAAGGCACCTAATTGCTGTTCTACCCCCTGCAGACAGATGAGATAACTCGTGGTGATGAGCTCCACTGTTCAAAAATGAGCCATGTGAAGAATTACCTCGCTGGGTTCATTTTGATAATTGGGCTTGATGTCAGTTCTTGCACCATGAGAGGCAGTGAATGCTCATTCTCTGCCTGTCTTCTCAGCACTCCTGGTTTTACAGACCTGAGCTTGCAGTCACCAGAGTGCCATTTGGTTTAAATGTTCCTTGGGTGGGAACTAGCCTGGAACTTTGGGCCATTCTAAGTGCATTCTACCCTTTCTCAACTGAATAATCACAAAAGCAAACGGGAGTCAAATTACACGTATTCAGAGGTGCAAAGATATTTTTAAGGTCATTCTCAGCTTCTTCCATTCTCCATTTCTTCCCCCAAATTCTCCAAAGTAATTTTCACCTCTGACTGCTATCAAATATTGATCCAGGGTTTTAATGTTAGATTTAATTTTGATTTTCCCTTTTGCCTTTCACTTTCCAGTCTCAGATATGCATCATATAGATAAGAATCCCAGAATGGTTTGGGTGGGAAGGGACCTAAAGTTCATCTCATTTCCACCCCCTCCCATGGGCAGGGACACCTTCCACTGTCCCAGGCTGCTCCAAGCCCCATCCAGCCTGGCCTTGGACACTTCCAGGGATCCAGGGGCAGCCACAGCTTCTCTGGGCACCCTGTGCCAGGGCCTCCCCACCCTCACATTTATTCCTAATATCTAATCTAAACTTGTTCTCTAGATGTGGCTGGTACAATCCCTCTATGCCAGTGTGTCAAGAAACTGAGAGTGTCCTCTCCTGACTTGCTTTAATCATTAATTCTTCCAAGTAGGAAAAGGTTATCCTTGTGAAATTGCAAAAAAATGTGTTAGAGAAATAAGCAAGAGTGGATCCTTTTCCTGATTTTCTTCCTCCTTCATCCCCTATAACCATTGTTTTAAAAACCACACAAAGCCACAATTCACAGCAGCATTTTAGACAGGTTTGTGCATGTATTTGGTACAAACAAACAAAAATATGTGCATTCTGTTTCATAGAGCTTACATCAATCTGGCAGAACCTGAAACACAAAACAGAAATACTCCGGCTAATAAATACATCTGGGGATGAAAAATAAAAATCTATACATAAAAAATTCCAACGTTCTGCTAAAGAAAATGTACACTTATATACACACTGTAAACAATAGTAATGCAACCCAGCTGCAGCCCAGCTCAGGCTGACAGGGACCTTCCTTCCCTCGTGGACTTGGGAGAGTCCAGTGACACAAAAATTCATTTTCCACCCTCAACTCTTTGTTCCTTGAAGCAGCAAGGTCTGAAAATGCAATTGTGACATGGAGCCAGTGCACTGAGGTGGGGTCTGATGGATAACTGAGGTGCAGGTGCTTTGGGAAATGGCCTGCCTGGAAAATCTGCTGGAGCAGGGCCATTCCCACAGCTGGTGACACCCTTGAGGATCCAGGGAAATCTGTGGGATCAGACTGAATTTACCTCCCGAAAGTCTGAGCCTGTTTTTCCAAACTTGGAAATATTTCAAGGAGAAATGCTCAATTCCAGACACTCAGGTCATATTCCATACAAGATTTTCCTTCCTCCCTGCCCAGCAAAGCCAGCCCTGTCTCCTCTAAATGAAGCTCTGCACGAGCAGCCTCAGAGTCCAGTCCTGGCTCTGCTTCTGGTGCAAGATGCCAAATGAAAACAGGGTGAAAACCAAATATTTCGCCTGAGTGCAGCACAGCAGAGCTCAAGGCTTTCCTCCAGCACCTTCCAGGGCATCTCTTGAGGCCAGATCAAACACAGTGAGCCAGAATTCGGGCATTTATGTGTGTGTGTCATGTGTGTGCTTAAACAGACTTTATTTTCTCCCTTGTAGGTCTGTAAAGACTTGGGGTGGAGAGGCAGCAGACCTCCAGACTAATCCTTTTTTCCTTCTTGAAAAGCTTTCAAGGGGCTGGAGGCTGTAAATATAAATATTTCAATACTGGAGAAAAAATAATATATATATATTGAAAAGATCAGGGAGCAGCATAAGCAGCAATACCAGCTCATTTATAGGAATGCACTGCTTGCCAGCATTTGCTAAATCTTCATTTATAGAGGGATGTTTGCCCTTTTGCAGGAGAATGCCTGTTATTTTGGGAGTGACACATTTATATAAACACAGATCTGATGTCTGTCTGTCTGTCTGTCTGTCTGGTCACAGATGCACTCATGGACTGTCCTCTCCCTGCTCCTTTCCCTGCCACACGGCCAGTGTCTTCCATTGGGATCCCAAAACCACCCAGGAAACCCGTGGCAGCTGCACTTCTCACACTTCAAAATGACTTTCTGTGTCACCCCATCATCACTGTAAGGCCTCATTTCCCTCCAAAGCCAAACAAACAGGGGATAAAAGCCATATTTCCCCACAGAAGTTCCCTGCTTTGGTAGCTGGCAACCTCAGCCTGGTTTAGCAGATGCTGGAGAAAACGCAGGTGGTTGTGAGTCTGAGTTCAGTGCAAGTGCTGGGATTTGCTGCTGGGAGGAAAATATCTGGACAAAATCTGCTGGTATTTGTGCAATAATTGATCCAGTTTGTCCTGCATCAAGTAAAGGGTATTGAGACAGGGCCAGCTCCAGATCTCTTGTCTCAATACGCACTGCACAAAAGAGTAAAACAATAAAAAAGTCCAACTTCCCTCCTGCTTTGTTTTGCTTTAAAGCAAATCAGAACATCAGAAAGAAAGGTGACATTCTCCTCGCTGCGCCTGGGAGCCTTTCATCTTCCTTCGGCAGCCACCCTTAGTGGGATGAGCTGGATGTGCTGCAGGCACTTCCATGAAAGGCTCCTCATGGGTTTGAGGGGCAGTGCTGATGTGGAGCAGTTTCCACCCAGGACACGTTTCCACCCCTCAGGACTTCACATTCCTGTTCTTTAGTTCCCTGGCTTGGGGCACTTCACCTCAGATCCGTCCTCTGCCTCCATCACCTACATCCTGCTCATGGCCTAACCTGATGGTCACTCCTTGGGGCTCCTTTTCTAAAATTTGATTAAACCACTCTGAATTTTCAAACCAGTGCCTGCAGTCCAAGGCCAAGTAGAGTTTGGGTGACCATTTCCTGAGCTGCCTTGTCAAGGGGGGCTTGCCATGGCTTCAGCTCCTTGAGTTTCCTGGAGGAGGCCGTGGTGCCCTCCTGAGGGGTGCTCACACTCTGGGGCTGTGAGCAGGGAAAAACCCACTTTAGTTGTCACTGCTTTTGACACAACCAAGGCTATTGTTGGCAGCCACCAAAAGTTTGGTGTGTCAAGCATGTGGGAGGTTCCCTGGGAGAAGGATCATGAGTGTGACCCTGACTGGGGAGAAGATCTCTCTTCCTGAGAAGCTCAGCTCCACTTCAGCTTGGACTCTATGGGCAGCAGAAATGCAAACTTCCGAACTCAGCCATCCCACCTTTCCTGAGCCACAGCACAGGCTGGCTGAGGACCTGCATTATGGAATCACAGGATCATTAAGCTTGGAAAAGACTTCTTGGATCATGGAATCCAACCATTAACCCAGCACCACCCCACTCACCATTAAACATCTCCTCAAGTGCCACATTCACATATCTTTTGAACACTTGCAGGGATGGTGACTCCTCCACTGCCCTGGGAAGCCTGGTCCAGTGCCTGACCACCCTCTGAGTGAAGAAATTCTTCCTCATATCCAGCCTAGATCTTCCCTGACACAACCTGAGGCCATTTCCTTCTGTCCTGAGAGAAGCCCCTGGGATGCATTTTTTATCCTGCATTTTCTGAGAAAAAACATCAAGAGCAAAGAAGGGGACAGGAAAGTTTGGGGATGACTGACACCAGAAGGAGCTGATTTCTCTGTGTGTCACAGATGGATGTTCACTAAAGCAAGGTGGGTTGCAAGTGTTTCACTGGAAAGTGAAATGCGAAATGCTTCACGGGATGGAATTAGAGGAGAGAGACCTGCACACCCCTTGTCAACAGTGCACACATCTGGAATACTCCTCTGGCCTGAAACCAGGTGATGTGGAAGGGCCAAAGCTGTGGCCACTGCAGAGATGATGGCTGAGAGCCGGGATCCCTCCACCTTGCTTGGGAATACCCCAGCCTGCTCTCCCTCCAAAGCCAAGGCCTCGTCTGGATGTCCTGCTCAGGACCTACAAGCTCCCAACCCACCCACATGAAGGACCAGCTGCCAGCTACTGCTTGGCAGAGTCCTCCTGGGTGCTGCCTCGGGATGGAAACATGGCCACGTGTACTAAGGCAGGGTTGGCAACTTTCGGGATTCAATCTTTCCGTTAGATTTCAGTGTGGTGTTTTTAAGGCAAAGGAGACATCCTGGTTTCCCTTAATTGCACAGTTTCTTCCAAAGCCAAAGACAACCACCCACCAGAGGAGACAGCTCCAGCCCTAAGGTCATATCCACACCTTCTCCTCCTGCTGTGGCTGTAGAATGGGATATGCCATTGGCTCTAACTTGAGGAACCCATAATCCCACAGAAGGGGCTGAGCTCCATGTGGGGGATGCTTGGATAACCTTTGGGCAACTGCATTTAATACCTGATTGCTGCTTCCAGCCTGCCTGACAGACCCACAGCTGGTATCCCTCCATGCTTCTGCTGGATGCCTCTAAAGAAACCATCGACAGCTGCCCCAGAGGCTTCAAATATCTGTTTCTCTCAGCCCACAGCAGTCTGTTAAGTCATGGGTTTGGTAGTCGATGGTTTCTGTGAAATCATGAGGGATGCCGATCGAGACAGACTCCACCTCTGTTTTGTAGGTGGCTGTCACCCCCCCTTTGCTGGAGCCACCCCGGATTTTGTTAGAAAGGCTGTTCATCTTCTCCTTCAGCTGGGTGGATGCTGGTTTCTGGAAAGGGGTGAGCATTTTCCAGCCCTTGAAGCTGAGCGTTCGCCTCTTACTGGCTCTCTCCTGGAAGGAGGAGTTAAATATGAAGGAGCTGTTCAGGGTGTTAATCCTGGGCCTTAGGTCTGTCTCTGAGTCCTGCACTGAGCTGTTGATGGAGGCCCCTCTCCAGTGGTGGTCGTAGACCCTCCAGATGGGCCGTCGCCGCCGCTGGCACTGGCACTTGAGCAGCCGGATGAACGCGCGTTTGAACTCCTTGCTGGAGCACGGGTAGATGATGGGGTTCACGCAGCTGTTGAAGTACCCCAGCCAGAAGATGATCTTGAAGACGATTTCGGAGGGCTTCAGGGATGGGAAGAAAGAACCTTGGGAGAGATTGAAAGGAACGTGGTTAGAGGAAGTGGAAGGGTGTGGCAGAGTGAGGTGATACGGGTGGTGGTCAGTCCACTCTGGAGGAGGTGAGATGTGTAGAAAAGGCTGATGGTGTGGTGGTGGTGAGACCCTGGAACGTGTTTTCCCAGAGAAACTGTGTCTCCTTACCCCTGTAAGTGTCCAAGGCCAGGTTGGATGGGGCTTGGAGCAACCCAGCCTAGTGGAATGTGACTTTCAGGTAATTTACTGCCTCCAGACTTAGAGACTTCAGCATGAAAGTATGGCCACAGCCCTGCCACCTGCACTGAGAGAAGAACAACACCCCTTCACCTCCTCCCCTTGTGTACTTTGGGTCACCAGTGTCACACAACCTCTGTTCAGATTCTGTGGTCATGCTAAGGGGAGCTGTTAAAGTGGGCTCAGATAGCATCCACTGCCCCAAAGCTTCTCCTTGATACTTTAAAACACTTTTGTACACCCAGTCCCTCCTCAGGTTTTTGCAGTTTCCCAGTGGTTTTCTTGGTGAAAAACAGGAGATATATATAATTTTTTTTGAGCCAGAAGATGTCAGTGTTGCTCCCACATGACCTCAGAACAGCATTCCCCACTTGGATCTGAAATAACTTTCTGACTCAGCCTTAATTTCTTTTAATTTTAGCTCCAGATGACAAATCACGCCACCATGTGACTGAGCGTTAATTTGTATTTAAGTAAATAACATTAACTCCAGATATCATTATTATTTTCCCCTGCGCTCTTAAGCTTGGTGTCAAAACAGTAAAACAGGTGCCAGGAGCCAGAAATTCTTGACTGACAATACAGAAAAGCTCCCTGGGCTGTTTGCTGGAGGAAAACCATCCACCAGGAAACTCAGAGAACAGGTTCCAGCAAAACTTTCATACACCCATCCCTAAAAAGTGGAGAAATTTCAGCCAGACTCAACATTAGGTACGTGGGCAGCTCCATCACAGATATGTGGGAGAAGATGGAGAGATCCCAGCATTTTGTGGTGGCTGGGCAGGCAAAGCAGCTGAAATATCTGCTGGAGGCCCACCCAAGGCAGGCAGGAGCTCAGGCTGGCTCTCAGTGCATGGGATGAGGACAGTGAGCAGGAATGACATCGCTGTGCTGGGAAGACTCAGGGCCTTCCTGGAAAGGAAGGCATTTGCAGCTTCATGAGCAGCTCCTGGTGGTGCAGCCAGTGGCTTTGAATGGAGCAATCGATGATCATGGAATCATGGAAAGGTTTGGGTCGGGAGGGACCTGAAAGATCATCTCATCCTGAACCCCCTGCCATGGGCAGGGACACCTTCCACTATTCCAGGTTGCTCCAAGCCAAATCCAGCCTGGCCTTGGACACTTCCAGGGATCCAGGGGCAGCCACAGCTTCTCTGGGCACCCTGTGCCAGGGCTTCAGACCCTCACAGGGAACAATTCCTGCCCAATATCCCATCTATCCCTGCCCTCTGGCAGTCTGAAGCCATTCCCCCTTGTCCTGTCTCTCCATGCCCTCATAAATTCTCTCTCTCCATCTTCCCTGTCAGCTCCCTTAACACAGGGCTCAGTTTGGTGAGGCAATGACCTCACCTTGGTTCTTTTAGGTTAAAGGACTTTATTCTCTTGGGGGTGGTGCTGAGATTTACAGGTTGGCTCTGGGCTGCTGGCATCACCAGTTTTGATTTTAACCCCATCAGAAACACCTCCCTGAGTGACAGCCAGAAGCTTTGAGCCACCCCAGTGGTGCTGGGGCCATCCCCCTTTGCCTTCCATAACATCTCCAGTCTTCATCCCACCATGGCTTTGACCATCCCCCTTTTTCACAGTGTCCCCAGCCCACCCCCCTGGACCTGCAGAAACCATGGGTGTGTCAGGAAATGGGACCTAGGAAGATGATGGACTTCATCAAACACGTAATCCTGCTTCTTCCCTTGTCAGGGAGAGGTTTCCTGCCTCAGTTTCCCCACAGAGAAAGGGTTAATGACCATGACCTCTTCACAGTGTTGCTGTGAACCCTGCTTGCAGCGTGCTCTGGGTTCTCAGAGGAGCTGCAGCTCTATGGAGCATTTTTTAGCTTCAAGAGAGAGGAAAAGAAAACAAAAAGCTATGGTAACAAAGCAAATAAAAGAAGGGTCTCTTTTTAAATTCAACTGGTAATTACTGCTTGAGCCAGGCTACTTAGGGGATTGGTGCTTGCCTAAACAGCCTGATGGCTGCTAAAATAATAACTTCTATCTGGTGTTTAGCAGTTCAGGGCACAATGCAGTTTCTGTACTACGTGCTTTGTCTTTTGCATCCAGATAGAAAACACAAATTGAAAAGGAAAAGAAGCTCTGAATTTTCTGAATTTCAACTCTGGCTGGTTTTTACCCAGTGAGAACCTTGTGTACATATGAAGACAAGGGGCCCATTACCATCCTCATTGCCATGCAAATAAGCGTGCCCCTTGGAAGGGACGTGTCCTGAGTGCATCCAGAGTTTCCTCATTTCCTGGCCCTGGGATGAACAGAGCTGGGCAGGGAGTCCCCAGAACAGCTCCTCTGCACATGCTGGAGCATCAGAATCCTCTGATGGGCACTGGGAGGCTGCACATTAGAGGATTTGAGGGGTCTTTTTTAGGGAATGCGTAAAAAATCGAATAAATCAGCTCTTGCTTTCACATACTCGAATATGCAACAGCACTTTGAGGGTTTTTGGGCTGGGCTTTGTAACATTTTCTATATAAATAAGTGAAAGTCAGTACTGAGTGGTGGACACTTGAAGAGCTCAGGAAACACAGAAGGATGTGTCCAAAGCCCAGAAATAGAGAATGTGAGTAAAATATCAGGAATAGCAAGACAAGAGTGGTGCACCAGCACTTCAGTCTGTTATCTTGGTGTAAGAGCAATTTTTGGTCATCCGGCCCCAAAAGCATTAAGATGAGTACAGGGCAACATCAAAGAACAGGAAATTATTTCTGTAGGATCTGTGCCACCATCCAACAGAAACCTGGTCTTGTTTAAACTCAAAATCAGCCCTGTTGAGCCCAGCTCAACACCTCATGGGGTGAGGGAGGAGGAGATGGTGACACCCACCTTAGGGACATCCATCAGAATTTATAATAATAATAATAATGCTGGGGTCTCAACAGTCCGTATGGGGACTCTATTCCTTCCATCATTTTATTAAAGATCATCCCACATCTTGCAAAATCTGAATCTGACAGAGCTAGCTCAGGGCAAGGGCTGTATGTCCTGTTGTAAACCTAAATAATTATCTTCAGAAATTAAGAAAGGTGCAGGTGAGCTCAGGAAAAGCCTGTTTGCACCTTGCAAAGTGACTGAAGCTACAGACTAAACATGGTTTGAAGACTGAACTTCAATTTTTTTGATGATGCAAAAGTCGAGCCAATAAAGTATGTGCTCATAGCATTTTTTTTTAAGAAAAAATTAACTACTTGTTAATTAACTTGTTAATTAACCTAATTAATTACCCTACTAATTAATCACCCTGTTCATATTTGGGGAAAACCAGGCAGGTAAAAATCTCCAGAGCCATGGCATGCTTCCCAAAACTCAGTGATGGGTGGCAGCAGATGCAATCTGCCCTCCATGTATCCAAACACATATCTCTTTTTTTTTAGGTTGTTTGAGCTAACACAATCCCATGATCTTTCCTTGCCTGCCCTTCTCCACCCTGCCCTCCCCATGACTCACTGGAAGGTGATATCACTTGGATTGTTCAGAGCGTTGCTGGTCCCAGTGTTCAGCGCTCAAAAAAACAGAGCAAAACAAGAAGGGAAAAAAAAGACAAATGCACCAATGCAAATGGAGCCAGTCCAATCAAAATTCTGGCCCTGGCTCCCAGTGTACAGCCAGAATTCATGAGCAGGCTTGGTTGGCAAGGGCATCTTTGTTCTAACAGGTCCCTGCTTTGCAGCATGTCCTGAATATTCCATGGTGCAGGAATGCTGCAGACATGGCAGAAGGTGGGCAAAACAAAGGGACAAAGTCAAGTCCCAGTGCTGCCACAGCTTGGAAATGCAAGGACCAGCAGGACTGTTCAACACTGATAAAGGAGTCGCTGTGGCTTGGTGTGGGCTTTGTATCAGGAAAGGGCTGGCAAAAATAAAAAGAGTTTTTGGAGAGCTGGATCTTACAGGTGTCATCACAGGAGAGGGAAGGTGAAACCTCCCACAGGAGGTGGCAGGTGAACAGATAAGAAGGGGACATGGCTCATCTCACAGCAGGTTGCTCAGCTGTGGATGTCCCTGCAAGCAGGAGGGAAAAATTGATTGGCCAAACTCATGGAAAGTTAAAAAAAATATTTATATATATATATATATATAAATATATATGTATATATATATAAAAAAATTACCAATGTGTGAACCACTCTGTTTCTGAGTTAGGAAACTCCAGAAATCCATTTGTAGGATTAAGATGGTGGTAGGGACAGGTGTGCCATCACCTGAACTTCTCCTGGATGTGGCCTCAAAGGTTCAGGAGGGCACTGAAGACTGCTTTGGGAGGTATCAGAGCAGCAAGTCAAAAGAATTGCAGCTGGTAGAGAAAAATCCCTGGCATAGGAGGTACCACAGCTGCTCACTGTGGGTCCTCCTGGCCAAAGGAAGTCAGAGAATCGTGGAATGGTTTGGGTTGGGAGGGATCATAAAGCCCATTTCATTCCACACCTTCCACTGTCCCAGGTGGCTCCAAGCCTCAATGTCCAACCTGGCCTTGGACACTTCCAGGGATCCAGGGGCAGCCACAGCTTCTCTGGGCACCCTGTGCCAGGGCCTCCCCACCCTGATGTTCAAAAACCTTGTATCCTTGTATCCAACCTAGATTTCCCCTCACTCTCTTCCTTCTTTTTTTTCTGACTCTCAAAAAGTAAATTAATTAAATCTGCTCCAAAATAATCCTGAGCTGCCCCTTTCAGCTCAATACCCAGCTTGCACCTCTCCTTGCCAGCTCCTTCCCAGGCCCCCATGATGGACAACCTCGCTGGTGCAAGC